TATGGCAATCCGAAGGCATGCCACGTGTGCCGACAGAAGTTGTTCATATAGAGGATACGATATAATCTCTTCCTTAAACCTCGCATTCTTAGAGTTCATTAGACCGTCTCCACCGCCCTCCACTACTGCTGCCTCGCTCTTCAAATCGCTGGATCCGGCGCCGGTCATGGCCTAGTCGGATGCTGTCGTGACATCGTCGATGATCTCGCTCTGTTTGCGGTGGAGGATCGGACGCGCCAACCATTGGCCAGAGTCAGTAGCCGCAGTGTGGAGGTTGAGGAAGTTGGTGCTGCTGTTGTTGGCAGCGTTAACGTTGGTGTTGGAGTTGCTATTGTCATTATTGTTGCTTGTGGTGGTGTTATTGGTGTAGTGCGTGCGAAGAAGAGCGTTGTTGAGCCAATTTGGCGTTGGTTGGTGAGGATCAGAGGGAGGTTTGGAGGTAGGGTCGGAGAGGAGAGATGCGTCAGTGAGAGTTTGGTTATGGTGTTGTTGTTGGTCAGTGAAATGGTGGAGTGGAAGGTCTTGAGGGTTGTGGTAAGCCATATATGATAGAAATGAAACTCTTTTCTACTTTGTGTGCGAAAGGTAGCACCTATTGATTCATGGCGAAGTGAAGAGGAGTGAGGAAACAAGAAAGGAAAATGGAAAATGTAGGAAACATAAAACAATGTTGTCAAACTCACATTCCCCCAATCTGATTTCGAGTTCGATTTCGAAAGAGAAAGGGGCTGTTGCACTTAATTTAATCTCTTATGTCCACTTTGCCCTTATTTATTTTTTATTTCCCTTCTTTGCAATCTATTTTTTAATTAAAAATACAATTCAAACTCGTTTTTAATGCCATGTCTGATTAAACAATATATTGACCATGTCACGTAACCCAAATCTAAATGGTCGTTTGTCTAATTTTATGGTAAAGATTTAATTGATGCAATTTTCACAAAATAAGAATCCAATTGAGACGCCAAAAAAGAAAGGAACCTATTTGAGATTCTAGACGAAAATAGAGACCTATCGAAACATTAAACCTTTCTCTTTCATTAAAACACAACTCTAATTCTCACGTCACAGACCCTACACTTCTCTTCATTTTTTTTTCATTCACTTATTCCATACAACACACTAACCCCACCTTTCTCTCTCTTTATTTCACGTAACTTATACACACAGTTCACTAGTGCAGAAAGGACTTTAGACGTCTATTATTTTGGGCTTTTAACGTCAGATCCCAATCTGACGTCTTTATGGGTGACGTTAATGGGACGTCGGACTCTACAGGTCCGACGTCTTTATAGACGTCGGATTACACCAAAATCGACGTCTATAGACGTCGGACATGGCATTAACCGACGTCTACTACAGCTTGTGTCTTTGGGTAGCATAGTAGCACCTTCTTCCTTTGCTTGTTTCCTCATAAGAAAAGCTTATGTCTTTTGGACCTCTTATGGCATTTCAATCGAAAACTGAATCTGGTTCCTTGCCTAGTTCCATTCCAACTGGCAATGAAAACGAATACGGTGGCATGAGAATTAGGCAAGGACCCAGTTTCGGTTTTGGGTTGAAATGCTATAAGACATCCAAAAGACGCAAGCTTTCCTTACAAGGAAACTAGTAAAGGGAGAAGGTGCTACTACGCTACCCAAAGACACGAGAAAAACTACACTAAAACACAAAGAAAACTCATTTTAATCGGTTCAAATGGAAGATAACCCATCAAAAACTAATTTAATCGAAGTAAATGTAAGTTTAAACGGTGCAAAAGAGACAAAACGTACCTGAAAATGCAATGCCGCGGAGAGAAAAGGCGAGAAGGAAGACGATGAAGTGTGCGTAACCGCGGGTTCGATTTTTGATTTAACAGGAACCCAGACGTCGGGCACAGGGGGCACCGACATCTATTCTCGACTAGACATCGAGGACCTCACTAATATGACGTCTATTCGATTTAAAAATTAATATCCGTGGTGTATATAGACGTCGGACGTAAGGGGAGTCGACGTCCAAAACAACTTTTCACCTACCCTATCAGGCCATTTAGACGTCGGATGGCGGGATCAGACGTCCATATGGCGGAAAAAACAACTTTTCACCTACTTGTCAGGCATATAGACGTCTGTTGCAGGGAACCGACGTCGATAATCGTAAATAGATGTCAGGGATGACGGGATCAGACGTCTATATGGCGGAAAAAAAGAACTTTTCATCTACCTGTCAGACATATAAACGTCTATTAGGAGGGGCACCGACGTCTATAATATTAGAGACGTTGAGGAGCCCCCTAACCGACGTCTATATGTCCAACTTATTTACGAAAATGTCACCGGTCAAGAATTTACGTTGGTTATTTTATGGTCTGACGTCTACGGAATAACGTTAAAGGCCAATTCTACGCTAGTGGTTCTTTCTTGCTCACACCTCCCGCTGCAAGTGCTTAACCTTGCATGCAAAAACTCTTCTCCTTTCTTTTCTTTTTCTTTTACAAAAAGCCCAACACTACACCTTAACCTACGTAAAACCCTTTCTTTCTTTCATTCATAATAACCACCCTCCTACTTGTTCCTTCATCATTCTCCCATTTTCTTCTCATTTCTATTCTCACCCATGCATCTTTTTCCAAACAACCATCTACTACTCTTTATTTTCTTTTATCTCTAGTCACCTACCTTTTCTCTCACAACTCAACCTTCCCGTAGCCAATTCCCTTGACACTATTACTCTTAGGGTGCAACCTCGAAGAGTCTCAAGGTTCAAAACACATCTAGGTTTCCTATTTCTTTACTTCCCTCACGCTACCTACACGCACTACTCACTTTATATAATTTTTCTCCATTCACATTGGATATATAAATACATATACATAACATGCTCTCATGCAAACACAGAACACCCACCTTACGGATGCCACACGAAACGAACTGGAACAGTACAAATTATACCAAGATCAATACCCAACATTATACTTCAGGATAATTTCTAGCCACTCCCCTCCTTACCTTATTTTCCAGAGATCCTCTGAGTTCCTTTGAATGTTCAAGGTCTGACCAATGTTGCTCACTCCCTCTACGAAATACCACATGCTCACTAGAAATAAAATATCAATTGACTAATAATAAAAACAATTACTTAATTTATCTCAATCTTATATCAAGAAAATAAAATAATATTACACCTAAATAAATAGAAAATCAAATTTACCTATTCCTATTTTATCTCTATTAAAATTAAACTAAATATTACTAAACTCAAACTAATAAAATAATATTAAAAAAAATTACTAATAAATCTTTAAAATTTAAATTTATTCCAACATATATCGCTTTTGCAATTGACCCCTTGAGAACAAAGGTTTTGAGGTTTTGTTATAGAGGAAGGTAATGTAACAGCTATAGTAAAGAATGGGAATGAGGAAGGAGATCATATAACCACTGTAGTAAATAATGGACCCAAATATAAGGAGACTTGGCAGAATCAAGAAGAAGGAGGTGCATTAAGAAGGAAAATAACTAACTCTAAGCTGGAAGATTATTGTGTGGGCCTGAGAGTGAGATAAATAGCAAAATATAGAGAGAGAACGCCATGGACTTGGTGTGATGTCACTCCCTTCCCCGGGGAATCTTCTATTTTGTATTTCCTTCTGAATTCTATTTTTCATATCTGCGTTCGCAAGTTTATATTCATCAGTGTGCTTGCATACGTTTTCCTTAGTGCCATTCTTTTACCATTGTTACAAATTCTTTCATACTTCTTATTCTCAATTACGGAAGTGATATACCCAACAAAATATTCAATGTAAAAGAGCATGTTACTTTACAATATATATTATATATAGAGAGAGAGAAAGAGGAAAAGAAAGAGGAAAAGAAAGAGATCAAGGGACGATTACGTGAAAATTCATGTAATAACACAAGAAAAACAAAAACCTAGACAGTAAGATGAATATATATTCTACCAAGTCAAAAAAAAATTATCCACAATTTCAACGTTTGCAAGTTTATCAACCCCTATTAATATTGGACTTAAGGACTTATGACGTATTTTTGGTTAATATTTCATAAGGTAGTTAAAAGAATATCCAATTTAGAACAAAATAAAAGTTTGACGACCCATCACGCAGTTGAAAATAAATATAGTTTAGGTACTAAAATTTTGCCAAATAACTCATGAACCTATGAAAATAAGCAAAATATAAATATGAGTTTAATTTTTATGGATTGCGAGCTTATTTTTTATATACCATTAGTTACGTACTATAAATATGGTATACCATTAGTTTATTTGTAGATGTTTAATTGAGTTAATTACTAATGTGTCGTGAATAATTTATGCGGATAAATCGCTCCATTATTTGATTTTTTTTTAATGTCATAGTTATTTATCTTTTTTATCTCTCTCTCTTTTCAAGAGGTGTTTCGTACTAATATTGACTCTTTCTTGAAAGGGTTTCATTGAAATTATAGGAAATCAAAAGAATTAGTCATTGAAAGAAAAGTTCTCTTAGCAAGGAAACAAAGTATCAATTTTCTTCTCATTGTCAAAGGATGAAAGCAGGAAAATATTTTGTTTATTATTTTGTGAAGTTCCATGAAGTCTTACTAACTTTTTCTATATCATAAAGAAATATATATTATGGTACAGCAGACAGGGAATAGAGTATATAAGTGGACAGGTCTTATATGTTACAGGTTGTTTCTAAAGATGGTTTTTCTCTCTAGAATAAGATAATTATTTGGTATCTATGCAAATGGTTTATAATATATAGGTTTGCATCTCTTGTATTAAAGTTAATATGTCATGTTTGTTTTTTGATACAGCAAATAAATTTTTATATATATATATATATATATATATATATAATAAAAAAAAATGTGATTTAGTGTTTTTAACTTTTTAACAAGTTTTGTTTACGACGTATAATCTACCTCTAGTAGTTACTATATTCAGAAGAATGAAAGTAATAAGAAAAAAAAACATTTTACTTTCTTTTTCAATTAGAAGGATGGTGGAAGGGCTAAGGTGATTTCACTCCATTTTAATGAATGTTAATCAATGTTTCATTTTCATCAAGGGCCAAATTTTCTCTTCTTGTTTTTCTTTTTTTTCAATGATAATGTTAATCTTGCAACAAAACTAATGAAGGTGTGAATGTGATATAACTCTTCTCCAAAACTTGTGGTTAAAAGTAATTGACTCTTATCAGTTCTTGCTGTGCCTTAGTGCTTGAGCTTGAAGATTTTGGTTCTCCTCCAAGAGCCTGTCATATTCAAGTAGCAGATCTGCAGCTTGCTTTTGGAGGGAACTAACATGAGCTTCAGCAGTCTCAACTCTTTTGTCCTTCTCTTCACATTCCACCTTTGTCTTCTTCAAACTTTCTGAAAGACCAGAAATTTGTTCCTTCAAGTGAACTATCTCCTTGGAAGCTTTCTCTTCCTTTTCCTTAAGCTCAACTTTCTCTTTCTCAATGCTTTCCACTTCTTCTTTAGAAGCTCCTGCATTGCTCCTTAACTTGTTAAGCTTTTGGAGATAATGATGCACACGATCAATTATGAAGCCTAGGAATAATGTAAAACCTACAAGATAAAATCAACTCCATTAAGACAAGATAAAATCTACTTTAATTGATAGCATAAATGAACTAAAAACAACTCTAAGAATAC